GCTCTGCAGGGAAGCACAAGCCCAGAGCGAGGGTTTGGGGAAGGCTGTAGCAGTTTGAGAGCTTAAATTGTTCTGATTTCCTCGATTCCTGGGATTTTCCAGGAGCTGGGATGGACCCTCCCCACAAGGATGACCCCACACAGCCAAAGCTGCCACAGCCCCTGCTCCAGGGTGGGTGGGGATAAATGGGTGGGATCTCCATGGAATCGTTCAGGTTGGAAAAGAGCTCCCAGCTATGGAATCCACACTTTGACCAGCACCGCCCTGTGGGGGATTCAGACACCCAAACATCCACCGTGCTGTCAAGGGAACTCCAAACGGGGGATTTCTCACTCTGCAGGGCTGTTGGTGCAAATCTTCCTGCAGAGGTGCATCCATCTCTGCGGCACCAGGGTGAATTCCCATCGGGAGGGGCACTGAGAGCAGACACAGCTCCGTGTTAGGAAATCAATCCACAAACACCAGGGGTTCATGTCCAAAAAGGAGACACAGGAGTCCTTTTACTTTATTCCAATAAAGGGAGAGGCCATGGGCATTCCCCTGGAGTATCTCCAATTTTTGGAGGACGCAGCCTCCTTTTTATCCCAATTTCCCAGCCACATTTCCCTTCTCTCTTTCCCCATTTCTGAGGTACTTGAGAGGTTCAGACTTCCCAAAACACCTGATACCAGAGACTTCCCTCTAATGTATAACCCTGCTTTTTAATTTTTAATTCTTATGGAATTTAGGGGTTTTTTCTTCCCCATTATTTCTTTCATCGTTCAATGTCCAATTTCATTTATCAGCAAACCCAAAGTTTATTTGTAAAAGCAAATCTCTATTTCCATTCATCAATCAGTGAATCCTTCCCATTGCACAGGGGCTGTGAAGGGCTGTCCCTCCTGTGCCTCAGCTCCCTATCTGTCCCAATAATACACAAAATAAAATGACACACATGCTGGAACCTCCAAGGTAAAAGAAGGGAAGTTTATTTCTCAACCTTGATATAAATAGAATTCCAAAAGTGACCCTGGACTGGAGGATGACAGTGCCACCTCTCCGATGACACTGGTCAAACCAACAGTCCATCAAATTTCTCCTCCTCCAGAAAGGAATGCAAACCAATCATTATTTACATGAACAGTGCGTGACAAACTCCATTACAAAAATGTAAACATCAGGAGGCTTAGAAGAGCAGGGTGACATCCTGTCCAGAGGGATCCTGCCTTCATCCCAGGCCTCTTCCTCCCCTCCTGCAAAGCCCTGAGAGGGAACAGCAGCCTTGGGAGTTGTTTTCTATTTAAGGTGCCTGGGTGAGATAAAATGGCAGTGTTGGAGCTGCTGCACTTCCAAACAGTTGTTCTTCATTCCAGTGGTGCTGCTGCATCTCCCAGTTCAAAACTGAGCCAAACTGGTCTGTCCAGTTCAGGCTTCTCTGTGCTGGGGGTGTGGATCAAAGGCACCCTCGGGTCACTGCGGTGATTTCTGGGCATTTAAAGCAGCCCAGGAGCAATCCCTGGAGAACACACATATATAGATATATTTTATATAAATATATATATATGTATAAAAGTCCTTAGTGTCTCAGAGGGGGATCCAGGGCTGCTCCCAACAGCCCATTCCCAACCTGGCACTGGAATATCCGTGCCCTCGGGACATGGCACCAGACAAAATCCTTGCCTGTGGCTCATGTCCTGCCACGGATTCTGCTCCTCTTCCTCCCACCATGCCCTCTTTGGAAATGAATGTAGGATCTTGTAATTCCTCTGTGTTGGAACCCTGGATGCTGAGAGTTTTGGGGTTTCTGTGCTGAAAGGCACAGACACGCAAGAGAGCACTGCATTTGACCTGAGGCTGTGGAGAAGCTTCCAGAATTGATTGAGAGCACTGGGATTACAGGTGAGGAGTTTGAATAGAAGTGTGTGATGTCACAGGGTGGAAAACTTAGAGTTTGGGGGTTTAGAATATGGTAATAAATATGGGGCAAAATGGAGGTTTTAGGGCAGTGGCTGGTCCTTCTTTACCTTCTTCTTCTCCTTCTTCTCCTTCAACTTCTTCACCTCCTTCTTTACTTTGTTCTTCTCCTCACCTTCTTCACCTTCTTCCCCACGGGTTTGGGTGGTGTTGGGTGGGTGGACAAAGGAACCAACACCTCATCACTGCACACACGTGCTCCCCCGTCACGGTCCATCCTCTGCTCACCAAAACCATCTGGGGCCATGGCCTTGGGTCCTGCTGAGGCTTTTCAGGGATTTCCTTCTGCCTTCCCCTCACAGGGAACTCCACTTCCCTGGCTTTACAAGCTGTGGATATCGGTTAAATTTTATTTTGGCATATTTTAAGGGGAAAAGGTTGGTTTATTACTCAGCCCTAATAAATTCTGCAGTTCCCTCAATTCTTGGGGTCCCAAGACACTTGAGGGGCATGGAACTGTAGATTTGGGGGAAAGAAAGAAACAGGAATAAACCTGTATCAAGTGACAGGAACTTGATTTCTGTTAAAATTGAAGGATTTGGGGAAACAGGTGTGTGACCAACTCACCTGATTTCTGACAGGAAAACTCTGAGTGCACTTAACAACTCGGTAAAATCAGCAGCACTGAGGAACGTGCAAGAGCTTGGGATTTCTTTCCCCTGAATTCATTAAAAGTATAAACAATTCTGTATTTTAAGTATGGAGGGGGTTGGAGACCTGCCAGTGGGAATAATCCACCCAACCCTCAGGTGGCATCTTGGCGGCATCACTAGGCTTTAATTTATTCTCATTTTTAATCCGTGTGACTAATTAACGGCTCTGTCTCGTTGTTCAGTAAGTAAAACCTATTTTTTTCCTAGCCGGGCCTGAATTCCCCTGGGACCCTTGGGAAGAACGAGGATGGGCACAGCCCACAGAGGAGGGGGAAGCTTGAGCAAATAACCGAGGCCATGGCACCATCTGGTGTTTCTGCAGGTTGCAGCACTTGTCCCCGCAGCCCACGGCAGACGGCTTTTCCAAATGCCGCTTTGGCTGCTGCTGCCTTTGGGGTGGAAACGCAGCCAGCAGCAATCACCTGCCTCACTCGGTCCCGCTGGCACCGTGCGCTGGGCTCCGGAATTCCGGGACAAATTCGGAATTCCGAGCACCGTCACTGGCACCGCTCGCAATGAGCATCGCCGCAGCAGCAGCTGCAGCGGCAATTTCCCCTCTCACTTCCTATTCCCTGCCAGAGCGGTCCCTCCTCTCCTCCAGAGTCGGAATTCTCCTCCCCTCCTGCAGGCACAGTCCGCGCTGTGCAGGAGGAGCTGTGACATTTGCACATGAGGGTTTGCCCGTCCTGCCGGGCCCTGCTCAGGAAACGCTGCCGGCATCGGCGCTGCTGCCAGCAAGGCGAGCAGGGACCGCCCCGGTGCCCAGGGAATGCTGATATCCACAGGGATGGTCACAGCATGGAGCAGGGGATGCCCTCACTGGAAACAGCCGCTGTGGCTGTGGCAGAGGAGCTGTGGGACATGGCAGGAGCTGTGACAGCCTCCCCTGGCACAGGGGACACTCCTGCAGGGGCACAGTCCGTATGAGCCTGAGCTGCCCTCGCAGCCCATAGAAACAGCGATCCATGGAATGGGTTGGGTGGGAAGGGGCCTCAGAGCCCATCCAGTGCCACCCTTGCCATGGCAGGGACACTGACACTGTCCCAGGGTGTCCCAGTGTCCCACCTGGCCTTGGGCACTGCCAGGGATCCAGGGTGGGCACCCTGTGCCAGGGCCTGCCCACCCTGCCAGGGAACAATTCCTCATTGCCAAGATCCCATCCAGCCCTGCCCTCTGGCACTGGGAGCCATTCCCTGGCTCCTGTCCCTCCATCCTTGTCCCCAGTCCCTCTGCAGCTCTCCTGGAGCCCCTTCAGGCCCTGGAAGTGGCTCCAGGATCTCCCTGGATCCTTCTCCAGGCTGAACATTCCCAGCTCTGCCAACCTGGCTCCATGGCAGAGGAGCTCCAGCCCTGGGAGCCGAGGGGATGGAGCTCAGCAATGGCTGTGGCTGGATGCTGAGGGGATGGCAGTTGTTCACAGCTGTGAGGGACAGCCATGGCAGCCACGGTGCTGAGGGATGGTGCTGAGGGACAGCGATGGCTGACATAGTGCTGAGGGATGGCTGTGAGCAGACCCCTAGCTGAAATAGTGGTGAGCAGATGGTGCTGAGGGACAGCCATGGCTGAGGGATGGCTGTGAGGGGACTCATGGCTGACACGGTGCTGAGGGATGGCTGTGACGGGACTCATGGCTGACATAGTGCTGAGGGATGGTGCTGAGGGACAGCCATGACACGGTACTGAGCTGTGAGGGACAGCTATGGCTGACACGGTGCTGAGGGATGGTGATGAGGGACAGTCATGACACGGTACTGAGCTGTGAGGGACAGCCATGGCTGACACGGTGCTGAGCTGTGAGGGACAGCCATGGCTGGCACGGTGCTGAGGGATGGTGATGAGGGACAGTCATGACACGGTACTGAGCTGTGAGGGACAGCCATGGCTGGCACGGTGCTGAGGGATGGCTGTGAAGGGACGGCCATGGCTGACACAGTGCTGGGGGATGGTGCTGAGGTACAGCCACGGCTGAGGGATGGCTGTGAGGGAGCCCATGGCTAACACGGTGCGGAGCGGATGCTGCTGAGGGACAGCCATAGCTGAGGAATGGCTGCGAGGGGACCCAGGCCTAACGGAGCCCCGAGCGCAGCCCCAGCCATCGCTCCGCCCCTCTCTCTCCTCTCAGGCGGCCGCAGCCCCTCAGGGCGGGCCGGGGGCGGGGCCGCCCCTGGGCTGCTCGCGCTGCGCATGCGCGATCCCGCCGCGCCCCGGGGTGAGCGCCGCGCGGCGCGGGCGCGCTGTGGCGGAGGCGGGAGCGCGCCAGGCGGCGCTGGTCGCCGATTGGCTGAGAGGCGCGAGAAGGCGGGGCCCAGCGGGCGCGGATTGGCGGGGTGCCGCGCGCCCCCGGCGGAGGCGGGCCCTGATTGGCCGGGGCGCCGCGCGGCGGCGGCCGGGACCGTTGGAGCGCGGCGGCGGCTGAGGCGGCTCGGCCGCCCCTGGAGCCCCGGGTGCCGCGGCAGCCCCGACACCGGCTCAGGTACGGGGGGGAACGGCGGGGCCGGGCCGGGGGGCGCCCAGCGGGGCCGGGTCACCGCGCTGGGGAGGGCGGCCGCTGGTTTGGCCGTGCTCCGGTGTTCCTCCCGGCCGCGGAACAGCTGCTGGCAGGCAGCCGCAATGTGTGGGCTGCGTTGCTTTGGTGTTAATGGGAGACTCGGGATGTGCAGACTCCATTGCTTTGGTGTTAACGGGGGATCCGGGTGTGCAGGCTGCATTGCTTTGGTGTTAATGGGAGACCCGGGATGCGCAGGCTGCGCTGATCTGTAATTAACGGGAGACCTGGAATGGGCAGGCTCCACTGGTCTGTAATTAACGGGAGACCCGGGATGTGCAGGTTGCAGTGATCTATAATTAACGGGAGACCCGGGCTGTGCAGGCTCCCCTGGTCTGCAGTTAACGGGAGCAGTAGCCAGGGCACAAGCAGCACCGTGCTGGGGCTGTGAAATGAGGCAGTGTAGTTTTTCCATGGCAAACCGCTCCTTTCTTGCAGAAAAGCCTCACTTGGTGTTATTCGCCTCTCCTTAGGTCGTGGTTTAAATGTCTGAAGAAGGAAGTGAGCCCAGGAAAGTGGAAGTTGCCCTGAGAGACTTGTCAGTGTGATTCAGGTAACGGGATCTGTTGGGATTGACTGTGGTGTTGACATTAAAATCTTGTGTTTTGTATGTTCAGTTGCCTGTTTCTGACACTCACAAAGCTCATACTGACATTTTTCACTGATGACAGACTTGTGCTGTGAAGCAGTGACTCCTGCAATTTCTGTTATGTGCTGGACATGTGGAAATATGGAATCATGTAAAAAGATGGAATCCTCCGTTTCAAATTCCTCCAGAATTCTGTTTGTTGTGCAACACATCCCTCGTCTGGGGAAGGTGAATCATAGAATTACGAAATGTTTTGGGTGGGAAAGAGCTTTAAACACCATCGAATTCCACCCTGCTGCCATGGCAGGGACACTTTCCACTGTCTCAGGGTGCTCCAAGCCCCAGCCTGGCCTTGGGCACTGCCAGGGACCCAGGGGTGGCACTGGCTGAGCTTTCAGGTCCCTTCCCACTCAAACCAGTCAGTGCCAAGGGAGCAGCTCCCAGGCTGGGCTGCCAGAGCTGGCTCTGACACTTCCACAATCCTGTATTTAAGGGGACACATGCAGGACCTCCTGTGAGCTCTGTGGGACACCCTCATTGTTCACTGCAGTTCCTGTGGTGCTGAATGCAGCAGCCCTGCCAGCATTGTCCCAGGCTCCCTGGCTTTGGAGCAGTTTTTTGGAACAGTAAATGGCTTTTTGTGTTGGCTGGGGTGCAGCTGATGCTGCCAGGCCTCTGCTTTATCCCAGGACCCAAGAGCAGTGCATGTTTTAGGGAGTGCTGAGTAGTGGAGGGGACCTAGGAAGGAGTTGTGAGTTAGGCAGCCCTTTAAACCAAGGGGCTTGTTCTGAGTTGGTCAGCCCTTTAAACCAGGGTGGATGGTCTGAGTTGGGAGACCTTTAAACCAGGGTGGGTGTTCTGAGTTGGGCAGTCCTTTAAACCAAGGTGGATGTTCTGAGTTCTTTAGACCAAGGTGGATGGTTTCAGCTGTGCAGCCCTTTAAACCAAGGTGGGTGTTCTCATTTAGACAGCCATTTAAAGCAAGGTGGGTGTTCTCAGTTCTTTAAACCAAGGTGGATGTTCTGAGTTGTGCAGCCATTTAAACCAAGGTGGATGTTGTGAGTTAGGAGCCCTTTAAACCAGGGTAGATGTTCTGAGTTAGGAGCTCTTTAAACCAAGGTGGATATTCTGAGTTAGGAGCTCTTTAAACCAAGATGGATGTTCTGAGTTGGGTGGATGTGTTCAGTTGTGCAGCCCTTTAAATCAGGGTGGGTGTATTCAATTAGGAGCCCTTTAAACCAAGGTGGATGTGTTCATTTAGGAGCTCTTTAAACCAAGGTGGATGTTCTCAGTTAGGAACCATTTAAACCAAGATGAATGTTCTCAGTTAGGAACCCTTTAAACCAAGATGGATGTTCTCAGTTCTTTAAACCAAGGTGGATGTTCTGAGTTGAGCAGCGCTTTAAACCAAGGTGGATGTTCTCAGTTGGGTGGGGGTTCTGAATTAGGAGCCCTTTAAACCAAGGTGGGTGTGTTTAGTTGGGTGGATGTGTTCACTTGTGCAGCTCTTTAAACCAAGGTGGATGTACTGAATTAGGAGCCCTTTAAACCAAGGTGGATGTTCTCAGTTCTTTAAACCGAGGTGGCTCTTGTGAGTTTTGCAGCCCTTTAAAGCAAGGTGGGTGTTCTCAGTTCTTTAAACCAACTTGATATTCTGAGTTAGGAGCCCTTTGAATCAAGGTGGATGTGTTCAGTTGTGCAGCCCATTAAATCAAGGTGGGTGTATTCAGTTAGGAGCTCTTTAAACCAAGGTGGATGTTCTGAATTAGGAGTTCTTCAAGCCAAGGTGGGTGTTCTGAGTTCTTCAAGCCAAGGTGAATGTTCTGAATTAGGCAGCCCTTTAAACCAGGGTGGATGTGTTCATTTAGGAGCTCTTTAAACCAAGGTGGATGTTCTCAGTTAGGAACCCTTTAAACCGAGGTGGATGTTCTGAGTTCTTTAATCCAAGGTGGATGTTCTGAGTTAGGCAGCCCTTTAAACCAAGGTGGATGTTCTCAGCCCTTTAATCCAAGGTAGATGTGTTTAGTTAGGAGCCCTTTAAACCAAGATGGATGTTCTTAGTTGTGCAGCCTTTAAACCAAGGTGGATGTTCTCAGTTCTTTAAAGCAAGGTGGATGTTCTGAGTTAGGAGCCTTTGAAAACAAGGTGGATGTTGTCAGTTCTTTAAACCAAGGTGGATGTGTTCAGTTGGGCAGCCCTTTAAATCAGAGTGGGTGTATTCAATTAGGAGCTCTTTAAACTAAGGTGGATGTTCTGAGTTAGCAGCCCTTTAAACCAAGGTGGATGTTCTCAGCCCTTTAAACCAAGGTAAATGTTCTCAGCCCTTTAAACCAAGCTGGATGTTCTCAGCCCTTTAAACCCAAGTGGATGTTCTCAGCCCTTTAAACCAAGCTGGATGTTCTCAGCCCTTTAAACCCAAGTGGATGTTCTCACCCCTTTAAACCAGGGTGGATGTTCTCAGCCCTTTAAACCAAGCTGGATGTTCTCAGCCCTTTAAACCAGGGTGGATGTTCTCACCCCTTTAAACCAGGGTGGATGTTCTCAGCCCTTTAAACCAAGCTGGATGTTCTCAGCCCTTTAAATCAAGGTGGATGTTCTCAGCCCTTTAAACCAGCGTGGATGTTCTCAGCCCTTTAAACCAGGGTGGATGTTCTCACCCCTTTAAACCAAGCTGGATGTTCTCAGCCCTTTAAACCAAGGTGGATGTTCTCAGCCCTTTAAATCAAGGCAGATGTTCTCACCCCTTTAAACCAAGCTGGATGTTCTCAGCCCTTTAAACCAGGGTGGATGTTCTCAGCCCTTTAAACCAAGCTGGATGTTCTCAGCCCTTTAAACCAGGGTGGATGTTCTCACCCCTTTAAACCAAGCTGGATGTTCTCAGCCCTTTAAACCAGGGTGGATGTTCTCAGCCCTTTAAACCAAGGTGGATGTTCTCAGCCCTTTAAACCAGGGTGGATGTTCTCAGCCCTTTAAACCAGGGTGGATGTTCTCAGCCCTTTAAACCAAGCTGGATGTTCTCAGCCCTTTAAACCAGGGTGGATGTTCTCACCCCTTTAAACCAGGGTGGATGTTCTCAGCCCTTTAAACCAGGGTGGATGTTCTCACCCCTTTAAACCAGGGTGGATGTTCTCAGCCCTTTAAACCAGGGTGGATGTTCTCAGCCCTTTAAACCAAGGTGGATGTTCTCAGCCCTTTAAACCAGCGTGGCTGTGCTCAGCTGTGTGTTGTGGAAGCTGGGACAGTTTCTGAGGAGGGAAGGAGCCACATCTGGAAGTTCAAAGCCAGACTTTGGGCCTGGCTTGGTGCCTGGGCCTCCCTGAGCTGCACACTCAGCCTGCCTGCGTGGGCTGCTCTGGGGCAGCTTTAGAGAGCCTAAAGAGGGATTCAGATCAGGTGAGTCAGGTGATAAGGATTTGAATTCATCATATTTTATTACATTAATTGTTTTCTCCTTGGTGCCACAGAGGAGAAACCATGATTTTGTTGGTTGTCTCTGGTTTAGTGTTCAAACAGATTTCTATTGATAAAACTGTGCCTAAATTTAAATAGTTTCATGGGCCTTTCCCAGTCCTGTGGGCTTTAAGGACTGAACTATTTTAACTTCTCAGCTATGCTTAAATAATACAGATTTATTAAAAAAACCTTATGTAATGAAGATTTTTAGGCAGTCTAGATCTGGAGGAAACAGTAGGAGACCTTAAAATTCCACAGCAGACAGCACATTATATTTGGCCAGGTGGAAACAAATGGAATTATGACAGCAGGTGCCAATTCATCACTGAGTTTTAAAAGAGTTGGATGTCTGGAGGATGTGCTGTGGTTACAAAACACTTAAAAACATAGGAACTTAAGTAGCTACTGAGTGACTGCAAGGTGAGGTATTTTCAGTCTTTGCCAGTGCAAATTTTAACTTTATTTAGGTCAGAGGTTGGACTCAGTGATTCTGGGATTTATGAGGTGAAAGGGTGCCCTGGCATAAAGCAAACAGGGAGGAAGCTGAGGCCCTCACTAAAATCTTTATTTATTTATTTTTTAAAACAGAAAGTGACAAAACTAAGTGATAAAAACTCTTAGTTTTACAGAAGGCAATGGTAAATGTCATCAGCTGGACTTTTACTTCAGGCTTGTGTTGTTCCTGTGCAAAGCAAGCCCTTTGTGAGCAGTGAGGAGCAGTTTGGGTGCTGCCAGGCTTTGATGCAGGTGTTGTGTGTGTCTGGCAGCTCAGACAAAGTTAAAGTTACCAGGCCTGTGTGGGTGTTCAGTTCCCATTGCCTGGGGCACTGGCAGAGAGACTTTTAAATGCAGATTAATGGTTCTGTGCTCCTTTCAGTAATATCTGACCCGTCACAAACCTGGGATTATTTCAGTTTAGACCTGTGAAGCTGGTGAGGAAGATTTCACACTGTAAGTCAATGGCGGAGGTGAAATTAATGAGTTAAAACTGAGCAAGCTGTTTTATCCTGTTTTATCCTTTTTATTTATTTGTGGTGGGCAAAGCTGTTCTGGTTTCCAGGTGTTCCACACTGGAATTTCCCTCCTCCCCAGGTGTGCAGGGAGCTCTGAGCCGCCAGGTGTGTGGGACCTGCTCCTGCTCCACCTCCCAGGCGGGGGTAATGGGGGAAAGGGCAGGAATGCAGCTCAGAACCCTCCTCATCATGAATATTGCACTGAGGGGCAGCTGCAGGGCTTTCCTGTGGGGTCAGGTGGAGAGGGGAGGCTTTGCCAGGTTCCCTTGGGAGCACTGAGTGCTCAGAAATCCCCTCCACAAAAAAGTCTTCCCTTCCTGAGAGGGACAGGTGAGCTTTAATTAGACTGTTCCCAACTTCTTCCTGCTCAGAAATCCTCCTGAAATGTTTCATTTCTCTCACCCCACAGGAGCACTGCTTTATTTCAAGGAAACACTTTCAGCTGCTGGACTTGCTCTTGTTTGCAGGCTCATGGTAAATGCCATGACATGAACTTCA